AGAGAGAGATAGAGATAGATAGATAGATAGATAGATCCATAGACTGATAGAGAGATAGGTAGATGGATAGTTAGTTAGATAGATAGGTAGATAGATATACATAGATAAAAAAGCAGGTTTGTCCTTCCCTCAATTCCACAATTCTCCGGTTTCGTCGCTGGCCTGCTAGTGTCGGGCTTCTGCTTCGTGGGCTTCGCCACGCCACCGCCCGGCTTGCCAAGAAGCGCAGGTAGCTCACCTGAGAAGCAGAAACCCTATGACTGGAACAGGTCGCACAAACTGATGCTGTAGAGTGGCTCCCTGGCAAGAATTAATTCATTAATGAATTAATTCATTTATTCATTCTGATAGGATTCTACAAGCGTACCTACTCAACACATACTCAACCGCTGTGGTTTCGGGGGATCGGGGGTGGGCGGGTGATTAGAGCAAGTGCCCGGATGTGGCACACCTCAGATAAGTCTCCGCTGTTTATGCTTCTGGGCCCCTGCTTGGCAACCTGGGGCTCTGAAACCCCCAAACTCCAAACGATTTTGGGCTCCGTCAGGTTCGGCTCTGGTGCCGCCGGCATCGCGCAGGCACCGGCTCTCACATTGAAGCCCAGCTAATACAGGGGCCTAAATACTTACCAACACTATTTTGGGGGCTCCTTATAGTATAGTATACCCCAAAACCCCTTCTACCTATTAAGGCCCCTATATTAAACCCTTTTGATGATTCCGCATGGCATGCTCATAACCACACAGGATCAGGGTTTAGGACTCTCTGCGCTGGCAGAGCTCTGGCTGAACCTTGCATGGACTAGACTAGACTAATGTAGGGGCCTTGACAACTGCCAAAATAGTATAGGTAATTATTAAGGCCCCTATGCTGGAATGATCTGAATTTCCAAGCACCCTGGTTCAAGATTCCCCCCGAAAAGCTTGCGCAGCTCGGCGACCGACCACATCTGCATCTGCCCAGCTTTCCTCGTCACTCTCTCCCTCGTCGTGGTCCGTTGCCAGCTGGCTCAGCAACTTGACGGCCTTATGTGCTCGAAGCCCATATGTCAAGAGGTTGTTCCGAAAGGATTTTGCATCCGCAACCCTGAACCCGTGCCGGAGACAGCCCTGTGCAGAAAGGTTTTGTCCTCAATTGCTTGTCTCTAACAACCTACCTTGGAAGGGCGATACCCCGTATCACCGGGTCACACCCTCAGTGACGAAGGTTTGAGGGGGAAGCTCAGGACCCGGAAAACGAAACTGCGAGCCTTCTACCTGAGCGGCCTAAAAACCCACCGTAATCTCGACAGAACGGAGATTGCGAAGGCTGAGGCCAGTGCTTCGTCGGACTTGCCAACATTCAAGGCATCCGAGCACGTTTGAGTGCTGCCTTGCTCTTCTCATGTTCTCTTTGTGCAGGCTTGCGCTGCTTGTGCCAGAACTATTCTTGCGGCTGCTTCATGAGGAGTGTCTGTTAGGTAGTCTTGCGGTTGCTCTGCTGGCCTGGGTTCAGAGATGTGCTTATTTTTCTGTCTTAAGTAAAAGAGGAAGCGGAGGGCTATGATCTCGCGGAAATTTTGACAGTGCAGGATCCAGGGAATCGATTTCAGGATCGTGGCTATGCGCAGCTGCTGGATTCTCGTGATCCCGGAAACCCCCATATAAGCCAAACTCTGAAGCAGGAGGCGAACTGGAGAGGACCTTAAGCTGAAGAGGCTAAGAAATGCAGGGCTCATGGAGGGTTTCGGCTCAAGGGGTTAATAGGGCTTTCGGGCTTATAGGGTGTAGTAGTGTTTAGGGTTTTCCAGGCAGTGTGCATAGGGCTTCATGGGGTGAGAGGGCTCGGAACCAACAACGAAATCAAGCTGCCGATCAGCTCGGCGCTCTCTTCAATTATCAGCCGCTGGAGAACATCATGCGAGGGCACGTTTTTCTCCTGGCTTTCACCCTAAATCCTAAACCCTCCAGACTTGCTGGACCTTAAGCTTCTTGGTTGTCACTGAGGCAAACTGGTGCTCTCGAGCTTTGCGGGATTGCAAGATTGCCTGCAACAAAGCCGAGCTACAAAGCTGAAGGGAAGCTTCGATAGCGAGAACTGCAGGCAGCTCAATGCATAAACGAGGCCTTCGGTGACTTTCCATTGTGAATATGGGGGGGAGCATGCAGGAGCTTCGGCGGCCGTGTTTGTAGCAAGCCTTGTCGAGGATTGGGGGTATTTCGGGGAATAAAAGACGTTGGCAGTTTCAAGTGGCTTGGGGTACAAGGCAGGGTTTACACTACTAGTACAGGTTCAGGGATTGCAAACCCTAAAGCCTAAACCCTACACCCTAAACCCCTAAACCCCTAGGCCCTGAATAAACCCTAAACCCTATATACACCCTACACCCTAAATAAACGCTACGCCCTAAATACACCCTACACCCTGAATAAACCCTAAACGCTCAAAATACCACCTACACCCTAAATAAACCCTACACCCCAAATACATCCTAAACCCTAAGCCTCCAGTCAACCCTCTCCTTGACTTGCCTTTTGTGGCGACAGGCACGGCAGTTCCAACTGCCCTTGAAGTCGTTGCCCTTGGGGTCCTGGAGTTGTTTGTAAGCTGAGACAGCAGCACATAAAATGAAAGATGTTTAGGCTTTAGGGTTTAGGGTTCAAAGGTTTAGGCGGTTTAGGGTTTAGGGTTTGGCACGGATTATTCGGATTCCATGTACCATCGAAGCTGAACAACTTGCCGATGTCGCAGCCTACACTGGAAAACCTAAACTCTCAGGCCCAACACCCTGAAGTGTCAACCCTACCTATAGTCTCCATTGTAGTTCCTTTTTTAGGGTTTAAGCAATTCCATCTTAAGGATCCTAGAAGGTAACCTCAAAAAGGAACTACAATGGAGACTACAGGTAACCCGGCCCTAAGCTCCGAATCCCACACGATCGGACGACTCCTTGTGGCCACATAGACTGCATGCGAAGGCCTGCCGCACATCGGGGCCGAGGAAGATCTTGAAGGTAGCTTCTTCATTTAAAGGAAGCTACAGGTGGGGAGTTTACATAGGGCAAAAAAAGGGCTTCCATAAGGCTTCTATAAGGTATATAGACCTTCTATAAGGCTCCTACAATGGTAACTACCCACCTGAACATGTCCT